GCAACTACTCCAGCAGACGACTTCGGACTAGGTGCGTTCTACATAGTCTCCCTGAAAATAAGACCAAGTTGCGACAACAAGGTCAACCCACTTCTAAGTTAATAAAGTTTGCAGTATAACGCTAGAGGATGGTGGAGAACTTTTATTGGAAAGAGAATTGAATTTTCTCTGTAAAACGAGGTAAGCCATTCTATAGACATCCTTGTTGAATTAATTAGCCTATCTCGGTGGTTTCCAAATTTCCTAGTGGCGGCGCCCTTTTTCACTAAAATTTTTTCTTAGCGCCCTACCCTAAGTATACCTATTCGTTAGCAAGAGATAAAAGTAAATAAAAATCGCGTATCTTCATTATTTTTTTGTACTTCATTAACATTAAATCAATATTTAATAATTAATGTGATGGATGAGCCTACAAATCACTGCACATTTTCTTAAATTGAAGCATTTACAGTATTTCGTGGCGCCCCTGTAAAGAGGCTGCCGCTCATCGGGGCGCCGCGGCGCACATTCTTGGAGTCACTGGTCTATCTGATAGATTGCCTGAAGAGGTAAAGAATTTTATTGAACTGGAGAAGATTCTTCATTCTAACCATACAATTCCGCTAAAGAAAGCTTGTGCTCTTAGTAGGTTTTCTATATATATATTATCTGATAATAGTCTAATGGTTATGAAAGCCGACAAAAGTGGAGCAGTTATATTCATGGGTAGGTCAAGTTATGTAGGAAAAAATGCTAGTTCATTTAAATGGCATTTACACGTAAATGCCTTTATTGAGAGATCCAACAGAAAGACTTAAGACTAGACTAAAGGATGCCCTTAAGGTATACGTAATTAATGGTTAAATAGAGAAATGGAAAATGGATTCGCTACTCCAGTGTGATGCAAGGCTGCCACGGCTTACGATCTGAGACTCATTATTGTAAAATATCTAATTGACACTTGGTCTAGAAGCATCTCGTTGGCCATATGATGAACGAAAGCTCAATCAGTTTTGACCCGAAACGAAGGAGGATATTTCATGAACTACGCCAACCAAAAAACGGCTGCAGTACAACGGGATTCAACCGTCTTCTTCTGGCGAGATCGACCTTCAAATATCTTCTACATGCGCTTTCATACTAAATGAATGTCTCCTCGACAATATTATATATAGAGCGTATCTAGTTCCTTCTCCTCTGCCATAGTATTCTTGATTTCCATAAGGTCCCCCTGACACTCCGACCAATATTATCTATAGACATTCAATTATACCTTAGGTTGGACTATTATTTCACTTTGTCTTTAGAGATGGCTCTTATTTTATTTCGATTTAACTTCAATTTCACTCTAACCCAGAGTAGTAAAGTAATGCCACTTAACTTAAATGATCCGTTTTCGGCATCCGTTCGGGCATCTGCTGTAATTTAAATAATCTCAGAGTCTGGTTGACGAAGCATCTTGTTAGGCATAGTTAATTGTAATTTAATGGAAAACTTAATCGTGAAAAACTAAAAGCTAATCTCTGATTTAAATTGTTTTAGTAAGGTTGCATTGGCACTTTCATGTCGCTGCAATATCATGTTTGAATATTTATTAGTATATTAATGAGCATGAGGTTCTATTATATCTTGCCTTTTTCCTTATAATTATAGATAATTGAGTTTTCCTTGATAAATCTTCTATTTTTCGTCTATTTACAATCTTTATTTCCATGCAAGCTAGCATAAGTAATGGATTTATTTAATTTACGTTGAACCAAGCAGTAATTGCCATTGACTTCGATATTGATATCATAGCTATTTCCGAATTATCTCACTAGTGAAATATAGCATATATACATATATCTATATATATGTTTATGGAAGAAATATAACTAATTTGGTTGCAAATTGTTCTTTTTTTACTTTATCCTATTTATTGCTGCCATTACCATAATTTTTTATTAACTAAATAAATATTTTTTTTTCCTCCGATTCTAAATAATTTTCAAGTATTTCTTTTTATTATATTTTTTACTAAGCTGTTAGGTTTCTTTATAACTTTGCCTTAAATATCTCTTACATCAAGGTTCTGATGCAAGCTGGTGGGTCTTGCGCGATGATTATCGTCTTCCATCAGAGGAAGAAGTACGGTACCTCGTATCTCCTGAAGATTGCTGTGCCTTTTACAGCATGCAAGCTGCTGAATTAAGGCTAAAAGATGCAGGCTATGGAGAGAAGTATTTATTTGTGCTCGACGAAAATCAGGAGGATGATGAGGAGAAAGAAGGCCAGGTTCGTATTACATCATTATTTTGTTTATTTTCACTTGCAACCCCACTATTGTTATTTTGTTTTTATAAAATTCTATTATTTTCTGTATTTTTGCCTATTTCGTTCGTATATTCTTATCTTTTTCACTTTTGCCACTTTCATTTTATCTTTATTGTTTTAATTCCTTTGTCGGTGGGCCAGAATTTATCTTTGTTTGGATAATTTCCTAAATACTAGTTATGGTTTAAATCTAATCCGTGTAAATATCTCAATTAATCTTTTTGCCTGGTGCCACAGTAACTCGGCATTATATCTCCTCTAAAATATTTTTTTGTCTAAACTAACTATAAGCTTGCAATGAAAAGATAATGCTTTTCTTAGTTACTTTTCTCAAAGACGCATCGAAATTTTTAAAACGAGCGTCAAAATAAAAAATATACTTCATAAGAATCTCTCAAGCTTATGGTTGAGTATTCATGAAATGCTTTAACGATTTTTTAATTTTTCGTTATTGTTTGCTATCTGCTTAGTTTTGTTACCGAGACGTGTTAATATGAACTTCAATCAACAGCTCCTTGTGAGGAAATTAAAACCGGCTTTTTTATGTCATAAAGCTACACGTTACCACCTCGTAATTAACCGCTTCCTGATACTGCCATTAGGCAAGTATAACTTGTCACTGAACTAAGCTATTTAACTATTATATCATTTAGTAGTCTATACATTACTTTTTTAAAATCTTTGCCGCTCAAAAGATCACATCACACTAGATTTAAATAAGCACGGAAAAAAATGTTATCAGTGAAGGCATGATAGTAATAGTGTTTACAGGTCAGATTTGATACTCAATTATAGCTATTTCTTTTCTTGCTCATAATTCTGGTGGGATTATCGATTAAGTAAACATGTGTTCGTCATTGGAATATATGATATTACTTAATTTTGATGTCAGTAGCTTTGAGACTCATTAATTCACTAATATATGATAGTCACATTATGTAGCTCATGGGTAATTTAAGAATGGATAATTGAGTTTCCTCATAATGAGATGAGTAGTCTTGATAATGTCATATATTGTTGCATAGACTTTATTTCGAAAAACTTATCTTATCTCAGTTTTTATTCCGAAACAGCTACATTTAAAAAAATAATCCACAACTTATTTTCTTCAGACATCTCATATGCAGTGGCGATCTGAGTTTGCCATTTTTAAGAAGCTACTGCTAATGTAATCATATTATTTGCTTTAGTTTATTAAAATTTATTACCAAAATTTTAGGTGACAAGTATGTTTATATTCTTTAAAGCTCCTTCCTATTCTCGATTTAACTTCAGAAATGCAAGCCAATTTTCAAACACTTTCAAAGCAAATATGAATTCCAATGGATTTTTTAAACGAAAACTAAAAGAAGATCGTGATATGCTTTCGGTTTCTATATCGTGAAATTGGACCTCTTCCATTTTTTCACCCTGAATCGCTAAAAGCCCATTCCTATCGGTTTTCAAGTTTACATTCCCATCTAATCCTACAGTACTTGGGGGTCCGTGAGTGTGTTGGCTGATATCATCTGTTGTCAAGCCTGTCATCGGTCATCTCTTCTAGATTTTAAGACACTAAAAATGCATACACACGTACACTTATGACCTAGCCTTTAATTTCTTATCCAACATCCCACAGGGGGAACCACGCCTTAACTTTTAAGGCTGATTCCAGGTTTGACTACTCTTAATCCAATCGCTTTTTCTTGACTTACCTTTATCCCTGATTAGCCGCTCCTTTGCGATATAGCTTCTTGTTGTTACACATTTGTCCTCAGTTCAAGCGTATTCTTTTGATGTTTTCGCTGAATTTCCAAGTTGGCCTAGGCAGTATACGAACTTATATCTGACGCTCCCCTCTTTTAATCTCCTCTTTATCAGGTTTCTTTGAAAGAGAATGTCCACAACTTTCCTGATCTTCTTTTATCTGGTGTTCTTATCATATCAGGCCAGTCTTTCAGTTGCATTCCAATCATTTTTGTGTCTGGTAATGACGATGTTCAGCTATCTTCGATCTTTCCGTATCAATTTTTTGCATAGTCGCTGTTGTTCTTTGATCCTTGTGCTAATTGTCCTTCTCGTCTCCTTGATAGATAATTATATCTTATTTCTTTTTACTGCCTATTATTGCTAATTATAATGGTTGTGAGTTTTTGCTTGTATTAACTGATTTGGTGCATTATTATTCCTGGATTTTGTTTATTTTTGTGTTTATTAATGGTTTCACTTTTATCATTGAATCAATGCACTGCAGTCTTTCACATGCCATTTTTCCACTAGATGCTATTTTACACTATTTGTACAGTTAAATTTTCACTTGATATGATAGCCCAAAATGGAAGATGAAGTACGCGCTGCACCTTGGCATACCACACGCGCTTATTTGGCTTCTCAACGCGGCGGCTGTTTTCTTGAGCTCCATGGTGCTGCTGACCCTACTGGCTGTGGTGAGGCCTTCTCCTACTCACGGACCTCAGCTAAACCAGGTGCCCTATTCCGACAAGCAGGAGGAGAGGCCGCACGAAATCTACTACAGAAGAAGGGACGCACTGCAGTTACTGGAACCGATGCCGATTTGCGTAAACTCCATCTCAGAGATGCTAGGGCAATACTTCGTTCTTATGGTTTGAATGAAGCTGATCTCAAAACCTTTAAACGGTTTGGCATTTTTCTTGTACCCGTATTAGGGAATTTTGTTATTATATATTTTAATATAGATTTCGCATACTAACTACTGATAATATTTATTTATAATTTTTATGATTTTTTTAATTTGGAAACCAATAGATAATTTTAGTTAATGTGTGCATTCCTTTTTTTTTCGACAGACATTATTTCACTTTTTATATGAAATTTACTTTATCGTTTATATCGTATTGGCATAATTTTTGGCCTATGTAATATTCTTTTTTGCTTCATTCCATCACCCTTATTATGACCTAACTTTGCACAGGGTTTTTCAAAGCTTTTATATCAGTGGGACCTATTCTATTCCATTCTCTTTTGATATTTCATATAGATAAATTTGTCCATTAAAACCGGTCGATT